TATGACGATGATGCTGAGGATGAGGATGAGGATGAGGATCATGATGATGATGATCATGCTGATGCTGCTGATGATGATGGTGATGATGATGATGATGATGATGATGATGATGATGATGATGATGACGATGGTGGTGGTGGTGGTGGTGATAATGAGGGGTAGGAGGAGGAGGAGGAGGAGGAGGAAGAGGAGGAGGAGGAAGAGGAGAAGGAAGGGGAATGGGAGGAGAAAGAGTGAAAGAGGGAGGGGAATGGAGACGAGGAGGAGGAGGAGGAGGAGGAGGAGGAGGAGGAGGATGGGAAGACGGAACTGCCGGAGGAGGCAGAGCACACGGTGGATCGGATGATGCGGATGCTGAAATTGATCCTGCTGCTGAGATTGATGATGCGGATGTTGATGCTGCTGCTGATGATGCTGACGATGATGATGTTGATGCTGATGCTGATGCTGATGCTCAGACTGATGCTGCTGATGATGCTGATGACTATTCTGATGATGATGGTGACGACGATGATGCAAATGATGATGCTGCTCATGATGATGACGATGATGATGATGATGGTGATGATGATGATGGTGATGGTTGTGATGACGGCGACGATTCTGATGATGCTGATGATGCTGCTGCTGATGATGGTGATGCTTATGACGATGATGCTGATAATGACGATGATGAGGATGCTCATGATGATCATGCTGCTGATGATGATGCTGATGATGATGATGATGCTGATGTAGATGAGTATGATGACGACGATGCTGATGCTGATGATGCTAATGATGATGATGATGCTGCTGATGCTGATGCTGATGCTGACGATGATCATGCTGCTGATGACGATACTGATGATGATGACGATGATGCTGAAAAAGACGATGATCATGCTGCTGATGATGCTGCTGCTGATGATGATGATGCTGATGACGAATCTGATGATGCTGCTGATGATGATGATGCTGATGCTGCTGCTGATGTTGATGCTGCTGCTGATAATGATGCTGATGATGATGTCTATGCTGCTGCTGATGATGCTGACGATGATGATGATGATGATGATGATGATGATGATGATGATGATGATGATGATGATGATGATGATGATGGTGATGGTGGTGATGATGATGATGATGATGACGATGCTGCTGCTGCTGCCGATGATGATGATGATGATGATGATGATGATGATGATGATGATGATGATGCTGATGATGATGATGATGATGATGATGATGATGATGATGATGATCGGGAGGAGGAGCAGGAGGAGGAGGAGGCGGAGAAGGAGGAGCAGGAGGAGGAGGAGGCGGAGTAGGAGGAGGAGGAGGAGGAGGAGGAGGAGGAGGAGGAGGAGGAGGAGGAGGAGGAGGAGGAGGAGGAGGAGGAGGAGGAGGAGGGAGGAGGAGGAGGAGGAGGAGGAGGAGGAGGAGTGGAGGAGATGAGGAGGAGGAGGAGGAGGAGGAGGAGGAGGGAGGAGGAGGAGGAGGAGGAGGAGGAGTGGAGGAGGAGGAGGAGGAGGAGGAGGAGAAGGAGGATGATCAGGAGGAGGAGGAGCAGGAGAAGGAGGTGGTGGAGGAGGAGGAGGAGGCGCAGGAGGAGGATGCGGAGGAGTGGGTGGAGTGGGAGGAAGAGGAACATGAGGAGGATGCGGAGGATGAAGAGGAGGAGGAGGAGGTTGAGGACCAGTGTAATGCTCATCATCGATATTGCAGTCAGCCGTCCCTCCAAGTTCCTAATTCTCATGCCCTTGCAAGGGTAGGGTTCATTTTCACTAATGGAAATTTCCCGTTGGAAGACACTCGTTCCAAAATTTTGAACAGTGCCAGAACAGCAATCCTGGATCTTCAGCGCCGCGAGCCACCGTCATTGTTGCGTTTTGACGATCTGGAATCGTGCCAGGACACGGGTCAACGTAGCTGTTGCCCTGAGTCCAACATCATGCCGAAAAACAATTTTGGGGATGTTAGTCATGATAACCCTTGACACAGTTGTAAACTCTTGTAACGAATGTGCGGCGCTTACGCGAGAAACACATTTCAAAACGACCCGCCCTTCATCCGTCAGACCGTTGCGTAATTCAAGTCTAATGTGCTCGGCGCTAAGGCGAGAGCCACATTTTAAAAACGACCCACCCTCCATCCGTCAAGCTTATTCTTTTAAGGCAATGTGCGCGGCGCTAAGGCGCGAGCCACATTTTGAAAACGATCTGCCTTCACACCGTTAAATGCTTGCACACTTTCAAGACGAACGGGAGCAGCGCTAAGGCGAGAACCACATTTGGAAAACCACCCGCCCTTCATCCGTGGAACCGTTGCGAATTTCAATATTCAGGATCGTAGTGGTTAGGAAGTCTCAGGCGAAACGACCGGCCCGCCCTTTCGACTGGCCTCGTGGTGCGATAGGGAAGAGTTTTAAGGAAATGAAGGAGGCATCCCCCGGTTTTGCTTCTAGGTTCCCAGTCCCTGGTCCTGGTCTGGCTGGGAAGGCGCCTAAGTGGTACGTAGGCTTGGTGGCTTACTAGCGGATTGTTTGGAACACGGAGGAGGAGGAGGAGGAGGAGGAGGAGGAGGAGGAGGAGGAGGAGGAGAGGAGAGGAGGAGGAGGAGAGGGGAGGGGGGACGGGAGGAAGGAGAGGGGGATGAGGTAGAGGGAATATGGGGTTGGGAGAGGAGGCGGGGGGCAGGAGGAATTGGGAGGGGTGGGGAAGGAGGAGGAGGAGGAGGAGGAGGAGGAGGAGGAGGGACGAGGAGGAGGAGGAGGAGGAGGAGGAGGACGAGGGGAGGGGGGATGGGGGAGGGGGAACGGGAGGGGGATAAGGCAGAGGGAGTAGGAGGTCGGGGGAGGAGGGGGGGGCAGGGAGGAATCGGGAGGGATGGGGAGGATGAGGAGGAGGAGGAGGAGGAGGAGGAGGAAGAGAGGAGGAGGATGAGGAGGAGGGAGGAGAGGAGGAAGAGAGGAGGAGGAGGAGGAGGAGGAGGAGGAGGAGGGGAGGAGGGAGGAGGAGGAGGAGGAGGAAGAGGAGGAGGAGGAGGAGGAGTAGGAGGAGGAGGAGCAGGATGGAGGAGGGAGAAGGGAGCATTGGCAGCCGGGGGGATGAGGAGGTAGAAGGAGGAGGAGGAGGAGGAGGAGGAGGAGGAGGAGGAGGAGCGGAGGAGGAGAAGGAGCAGGCGGGGGCTGAGCGCGCCAGCGGGCGCTCCAGGCCGGTGAGAGGGGGGGAGTCGTCCACAGCGGCCTCCTCCTTCCTCCTGTTCCTCCGCCTGGCTGGAAAGCAGCTGACGCACAGCACATTCATTAATGATCCCGCGCGCACACGCACAACTGTGCAGCACCCCACCCACGCCGGAGCACGCCGACTACAGGTATCCCCCTCCTCCCCCCTCCTCCCCCTCGGGGTTCAGGGTCGTGGTGGGCCGTCCCGACCTGCTGGCGGTCTGGAGAGCGTCCCCTCTTCGGGGGGTCTCTTCTTCGGCGGAAGGTTGCGGCAGGCGGGCATTGGCCAGAGAGGTCCCCCCCCAAGAGACGGCAACGCTCTTGGACTCGGGGTTTCCAGAGCGGTCCACTTCGGGCGTTCCAAGCGATGATCCTAAGGACGTGTGTTAGCCCAATGCGTGTGCGTGCGTATGTGTGGCTTACCCGTTCAGCTCCACCGATGTTGCTCAGCCTGTGTCGGCCCTCATTGCGCCGCCTGGGTCGTGTTTGAAGGGCTTCCGTGCACAACCACACGCTGGTGCAAGCACACGCTCTCAGGATCATTGGTCCAGACCAGACCCAGACCTCCAGGGCTCTTGACCTAAGTCGCGAGGGCGGTTTTTGGGCGTAAGGTCGGGGCGTCGGAGGCCGGCTTAGATCGCCGGGGCGAACACTTGTCCCTGGGATGGCGTCCAGAGGTCCTTCCCGGGGTATGTGGGCGCTTGCACGGATCCCAGTGTTGGCCCTTCCCACAAAAAGGGCTATCGTCGGCTCGAGGTATAAGATCAAGGTCGGTTCGGGGAGGGTGCCCTAATGTTCTTCGTGCTTGTTTGATGTTCTCGTGCATCATGGAGGAGGGTACCCTCGGTGATCTTCTTGTTTGTTGAGTTTTGACCAGCGGAGGGTCTCATGTTCTTGAAGGGTTTTCTTCTGTCCTAGGTCCGAACGTATGGGATCCAAAACAGGCGCGCGGGCCATTCCCCCGACCCCCTGGAGGGGACCTTCGAGGGTCCCTGTCACGAAACAGTGGTGACGTCGTAGGTCTGAGAAATGGGACCTGTCCCCCTCTCGGCGGAGGTCCGCGAAGGGCCAGCTGGAGTACATAAAGCGAGGGCGGCCCCACTTGCGGAATCTCGGCGGAAGGCTGCTGAAGTAAAGCCGGACTCCCTGAGAGAGATCACCTCAGAAACCGGAGCATATACATTACCAGTGGCGGGCGGTTTTTTAATCCCAGGACTTTTTTGAGTGTCGGGGACGACGTTGGGGTGGTGTGGTATATATTTTTGTCCCCGTTTCCCCAGGGAAACAACGAAGAATGTATACACCAAGATCCCGTATACACCAGGATCCGCTTTCCTGTGCGAGAGTGAGTGTAAGGCCAGACGAAGGCGTCGGTGTATAGAGTTCGGCTCCTTATCATCGTCGGCGCACCCAGGGTTCTCGGAGCCGGTGATTTGTCCATGCGCTTGTTTTCCTTGCTCCTGGGCGGGGGCATTGCCACACGGCCACGCGCGGCCCGGGAAGCCGCGGAGTATTGTCGGGGCGGGGCTGGCGCATCACCGTAGCCTGGCTCAGGCATACCTCAATGTGTTTGAGGTGAGTCTCGACAGGCATCGTGCAAGGGCTTCGGCGCCCCTGCGAGACGTCCTCCGTTCACTGCCGAATCACGCCAGAGCGTACGTTCATGATATTCGCGGTGGCCTTCAGCTGTGCAGCACTTGCTGCAGCATCAAGGCCAGCTTGGTCACTTCATCATGACAGTGTGGAACAAGAGGGTGACATGGTCTTGACCGCCTTGGTGCAAGCCAGTAAGGTCAAGGCAAGTGCAGCGTCCAAGCACAATCTACACAGTGGCAGCGGTGTTGCCAGCTCCAGCAAACGTGGTCGATCTTACCAGAAACGCAAGCACACTAGCTCTTTCTTGGCCGACCAGGCGTCTACCAGGGAGTGGAGCGCGTGGAAGCTCGCGGCTGCCGGGCACAAAGGCCGCGGTATGTCGCTGGCAGAAGCAGATCATAGCTTTGAGCCCGAAGAAATCGCGTCCGAGAGGACAGAAGCTGGCACTTTCAGAGTCTTCCGGTTTCCGCTCAGCTTCTCGAGCACTGCGCTTTATTGGAGGCGTTTCGGCGTGGATGTGCCGCGCGAGTGTGAGCGTGAAGGTTCAAGCTGCCCCGTACTGTTCGACTTCCACGGCAGCTATGATTCCTTATACACTCAGCGGAATTGGACGAAGTGGTACCAGTATCAGGCTCAAGTCTCGCCAGAGAAGCAGTTCATCCTGGTTACTCCTGAAGGCTCTCCAGATGCTGTCACCTATTTCGAGGCTAAGCTTAACGACGACGCTTCTGATGGCGCCTATAGCGTTGGTAGCAGCGCCACTTCATGGAACGTGCTAGGATGGGGGGATCCTTCACCCGCTGTACCTGACGACGCCATATGCGCTGAAGTTCCAGGGAATTGGCAATGCTTTGAAAAAACGCTGACCGAGGAGAATGCTTATCCTTGTTACGGCACCCACTTGGAGAGCCTGCCATATCTGTGTGCTCCTTACAACGACACGGTACTTCAGTCGCCAGATAATCGCATCGATCCCGCACATCAGATGTACGCGCGCACTAATTGTACTAGCTCTGGGAGGGCGAACGACTGGGACTACATGAAGACAGTAGTCCAGTTCGTGGTACAGCAGTTCAGGGCCGACAAGACTCGCATTTATTTCAGCGGCCAGTCTATGGGCGGTATGGCTACGCTGCAATTCGCAGTCGCGGAGGGGAAGTATGCATTGCCCAAGGATCTCCAGCCGGCCGCCATCGCTCCTTGCTCACCACCCGGCTCCCGCATGAATCAACTGGAGCTGTTCGGGAAGGTGCCTACTCTGTTGATGTGGGGCTTTACCGATGACATCTCTCCACCTTCCGCGTTTGCAGGTTATGCACGAGATGCATCTGGCTGATCCCATGTCCGCCGATCCCATGATGTTTGAAGAATGTGGTTCGGGTTGGCCTCTGCAGACGTTGACTGGGCAAAAGGGAGAAGCAGATGAGGACAAAAGGAGGACAAACGGAGGACAAAAGGAATATGATGATGATGATGGTGATGATGATGAGGATGATGCTGATGATGATGATGACGATGATGATGATGACGATGATGGTGATGATAGTGATGATGATAATGATTATGCTGATGCTGCTGAGGATGATGACGATTATGCTGATGCTGATGAGGCTGATGATGATGATGATGATGATGATGATGATGATGATGATGATGATGGTGATGGTGGTGGTGGTGGTGATGATGATGATGATGATGATGATGATTATTCTATGGTGATGATGATGAGGAGGAGGACGGGGGAGGAGGAGGAAGAGGGGCAGCAGGTTGAGGATTATGAGAGGTGTGATTACCAGGATTATGAGCAGACGGAGATGGGGAAGATAGGGATAGAGAGAGATACAGAGAGAGACAAACACATCAAACAGAGAGACAGAGAGACAGAGAGAGAGAGAGAGAGAGAGATAGAGCGAGCGAGCGAGAGAGAGAGAGAGAGAGTGAGAGATAGAGAGCCAGGGAGAGCCAGAGATAGGAGAGGAATGACATTGTTTTGCAGTGACTCTTGAGGCTCTGTGGTGCCCTGTGAGACTGTCCGAGGGCTCGGTCGCGGTCCTCTTGGGGCGTCCGCGGGGTCTCCTGTGGCTCTCCTGGGCCGTCCTGGGGCATCCGGAGGCCTTTATTGCGGCCTCCCTCTGGGGCCTTCTCTGGGGCCCTTCCCGAGCTTGCCAGTGCCTCGTGGAGGCCCTCTTGTGCCTCCTTTGAGGCTTGCTGGGGGGCGCTCCTCGTCTTCTTGGAAGTCTCTGGGGATGCCTTGGCGACGTCCTACGGTAGGCCTGAGGCAGGACTTCAGAGCTGCTTCGGCACTCCCGTTCCCTCCCCTCCAAATCAGCAAGATCGAGTCCTCTGGGAGGGAGCCGGGGAAGGGCAGACGTCCCCCCACGCTGGTACCTGAGGGGTCGGCGAGTTATCGGAAGCTGCAGGAGGCCCTGTACGTGGCTTCGCCGATCCGGCTTGCACAAGCAATGAAGGTGGCTGGCATAACGAACGTTTCCGACATTCCCTCCGACATACCGCACTTCCTCCTCTACGTGGACGTGTTGACTGGCGGCGCCTTTCTAAGTGAAGTCGTGCGCAGGCTCTACGAGAGCCAGCGAGTTGGATGCCTTGACAGCAAGGGCAACGTGATGCCACTCAGCTACAGCGGTATCATGGGGGAGGGCCTCAACACCACACTGTCACGGATCGTAGGCCACAATGTCGATTGGACGTCTTTGAAGTTCGAGGCCCCCTCTTCCGTGCCCCAGAAAGCTGCATCCGACGTTTGGTTGATGTGTGCCAGCGTACCTGGCACGCAAGTGCCAATCCGCGTATGCATCTTTGATGAAGGGCATACTTATCCTTGGAGCGGAGGTCAAGTGCTGAATCCCCATATTGAGGTCGACGGCTCGGGATTTATTCCTTCTGCGCAGGGAGGCAAAGTGCTCCATGACCTCATCTACGAGGACTTTTTTCAGGGCGGCACCTTGAGGCGCTCGGCGTGAGAGGGTGGCCTCATGACCTCTCTGAGTTACCCCCGCACAGGTAGCAGCAACAAGAAAGACACAGCTGACTTGAGGGATGCGGGCTGAATGCTGTCCAGGCGCTGGGAGATGCCCCTTTCCTCCTCACTGCCTCCCCCTCCGTCTGCTCGCCTTCCAGCGACGATATGTGTCGAAATTGAAATGCAGTCCTTGGAATATGCTGGCATGCATGTTTCCTTGCGGACAGTCGTGAAAGAATGGGGCCGTGCAATCGACCATGACGTGCGTTCACGTGTCACGAGCAGCTGGCGCAGTAATAAGGGCCGCCCCCCCCTCCCTCCTGCCCCCTGCCCCCTCTTCCCCCTGTTCCGCCTCTCCCCCTACAGTGAGCGGCTTGAGTAAGGAACACTTACTTTTCAAAAGGGGCTCGGTCGTTCCTTAGGTTTGCATGCGTTATTTACAGTTCCTCATGCGTTATTTGTTATTTATCGTTCCTTATGCGTTCTTCCTTGGGATAAAAAGGGGCTTCGTTCTTTATTTATCGTTCCTTAGGTCAGGCCGATGACTGTATCCCCACACCCAGCCACGTTCCTGTGGCGGGCACTGTTCCCGGACAGTGCTTGCAACTCCGATCTCGTCCCTCCCTCCCGCCTCCCTCGTCTTCCACGAGCCCAGGCACCCCTCGCCACGGTCTTTCTCCGTGACCTGGGCCCCACGGCTCTCTCGACTCCTTCCCTGTAGGGACGTTCTGTTGTCCTCCTCCTCCTCCTGCTCCACTCCTTCTCCTCCTCCTCCTCCTCCTCCTCCTCCTCCTCCTCCTCCTGCTTGAGCTCTGGAGCTCGAAGCGGGCCTCCAGATGCCGAAATCGTTCCAGAACTGGCCGCCACGATTGTTCTCGCGACGGCCCGATCCCAGGGAGCTTGAAAAACTCCCTGGCCCCCCGCAGAACATCAACCAGAGCCTGCTGACGCTGGGACGGGTCATCACCGCGCTGCGCGACGGCTCCGGCCGCGTGCCCTACCGGGACTCGAAGCTGACCCGCCTGCTGCAGGATGCCCTCGGGGGCCGCTGCAAGGAGGGCGCTTTTCTTCGTCCTGCGGCCGCGGCCGCGGGCCTCTCTGCCTGTCGACGCCTCCTCCCGCTCGCTTGTGCCTTGAGCAGTGTGGGCAGGACGAGGCCGAGCGAGTGGGGCTGAGGGAGCAGGGAGCAGGCGGGAAAAGCGAGTGGGGACGAGGGAGATGGTGAGGTAGGAGGAGGGGAATGTGGGAGGCTCGCTTCTGGAGGTTTCCAGCATTGTTTTGATTTTGGTCGGTGAGGGGATTCCGAGCTGCTTCTCGGACGATGGGCTGTCTTGAAAGTTGATGAGCTGTTTCCCCAACCCTCCTTTGCTGTTGGGCCCTTGCTTTCTCTCCGCAGCGCCGCGCGCCCCGTCCTCCTCCTCCTCCTTCTCCTCCTTCTTCTCCTTCTCCTCCTCCTCCTCCTCCTCCTCCTTGTCCTCCTCCTCCTCCTCCTCCTCCTCCTCCTCCCCCTCCTCCTCCCCGTCCTCCCTCTGTTCCTCCTCCTCCCCCTCCTTCTTCCTCCCCCTCCTCCTCCTCCTCCTCTTCCTCCTCCTCCTCCTCCTCCAGTCCTTTTCCTGATAAATGAAAATTTCCTGTCGCACACCGAGGCCAATCTTTAGGGCGGGTCGGGCACTTCGCCTAAGACTTCCTCACCATTTATGACCCTGAAGCTTAAACAGTGACAACAGTTTCACATATTGAGGGCGGATCGTTTTCGAAATGTGGCTCTCGCCTTAGCGCCGCGCACGTTCTTTTTCAAACTTTGGAAGAGTTTCACGGATTGAGGGCGGGTCGTTTCCAACATGTGGCTCTCGCCTTAGCGCCGCGCACATTTTCTAATGTAAAATGCCAGATTTTACTTTTGGAAGGCGGGTGATTGCCAACATGTGGTTCTCGCCTTAGCGCCGCGCACATTCGCTTTAATCATTTGCAAGAGCTTCACGGATGGAGGGCGGGTCGTCTTCAAAATGTCGCTCTCGCCTTTGTGCCGTGCACATTCGTTGAACAACATTGCAAGAGCTTCGCGGATGGAGGGCGGGTGGTTTTCAATATGTGGCTCTGGCCTTAGCGTCGCGCGCATTTCTTTTAAAGCTAGGAAACATTTCACGTATTGAGGGCGGTTCCTTTTCAATATGTCGCTTTCGCCATAGCGACGCGCACATTCGTTTTTGGAATTT